ATCTCGATTTGTAACGTCGCTCGATTTTCTGAAATATTATTAGATCTGCTGAAGGTTCCAGAATATAATATCGGCAGCTCATTGGCGCCGAATCCCGAACAATCGGTAATAAATTACCGATCGTTGGTATTATGTAAATATGTTCGTAAAACTTATGTTGGTAAAAAATTAAATATTGGTAAAAAATTAAATGTTGGTATATAAGATCGGTAATAAATTACCGACCGCCGGTAACATCGATATGCCCCCCCCCAATTACCAACTGCTGATACCCCCCTCCCCACAGTGACGTCGTACCCCCCCCGTGACGTCATACCCCCCGCCCGCGTACTCCCCCTCGGAGGACCTGGGTTAGAACCCGCCTACTATACCTACTACGATATGAGTCTGTTTCGAACAGCTCTAGTTGGTGTGCGGCTAGTTCGTATGCCGTCGAAGTACCATCGATCTCTATCTTTAAATGCGTGAGTATAATTCGTGCTCTCCTATTCAGGAGCCTCGTAAGATGGTGAAAGGAAAGCACCAACGTGTTCTTGAGTCTAAGAACACGGCGTACCCGGAGTAGGACGCGTGGAGTTGTCCGACCCTGGCAGCGAAACAATAGCGAGTGTGCCTCGCGTGAGAGCTGCGGCCCTGGCAGCGAAACAATAGCGAGTGTGCCTTGCGTGAGAGCTGCGGCCCTGGCAGCAGAGTTTGGAAAGAAAACCTACGACTCACGCGGAGTCGTGAGCCCGACCGCACTAAGTTTTGTCGGCGCTGATACCCGGTATGCAACACGGGAGATTTCGCAAAGAGAGACGTCCACCACGGTGGAGGCGTCAAGGTAATCCGAAGTGGTCGCGCAAAGCTTTCTCTCAATCCTCGATCGTATTGAGAAGGTGGAGATCCGTGGAGTTACCATACACTTCGTAACACAGATGCCAACGTGTCCTCGGACATTCTAGAGACAGTAGTCCAACGTGCAAGCGCACTCTAAAGGGCTGCAAAGACTCAAACCCGAATGCCAACGTGTCTATGACACTCTTAAAGCAGTGAAGTTCGATGCTGATATGCAAAACGTATACCTCTGGCGAGGTAAGTGCCCAACTTGCTTGCGCACTCAAGAAGGCGAGTTGAAGCTAGCTAGAGCTTAAAAGAATACCTGCTGGTGCAATCGCAGTCAAAGCTGGCAACAGGCAAAAGGCCTTGAGTGGTCTCGTGCGGCACTTTATATAGGCGCCTAAGCGAGAATTAACCGCGGGAAGCGGTTTCGGCTGACGCGCTCGCCGCGTCGCGGCGACGGCGCGCACTAGCGGCAGGAGGCCGGCGACCGCGAGTTGAGCGGCGCCTGGGGCTCGGCCGCCCGCCGTACTCGCTCCGCATGGACACTCAACGGCCGTCCGGAACATCCCGCCCGCCTCCGTCCTTGCGACGTATCTTACTCCTTGGCACCCGTCTCACCCGCGGGGGCGGGAATCGCCACCTCAACAGGCAGACGCACCAGTTTCACGAGGGGGCGCGTCAGAACTGAATCGGCGGTTTTGACCCGCGCCACCCGCACCTCACCGTCGGGACCGACGACTAGGTCCTGGATCCGGCCCATGGCCCACTTCGTGGGTGGGAGCCTGGAGTCCAGGAGCACCACCAGCTCACCTACTCGGGGCGGATCCTCTTTCCTGTTCCACTTGCGGCGCGCCTGCAGCTGGGTGAGGTACTCACGCGACCATCGGTTCCACAGATGATCGGTGAGGCGCTGAAGCAGCTGCCATCGCCCGAGATGAATCTCCGGCTCGGCAGCCAGGCGGGGCTCAGGCACGGCGTTCAGAGGCCGTCCGATTAGGAAGTGGCCGGGAGTCAGGACGTCCAGCTCCGTTAGCGGGCTTAACGGCCTGGAATTGAGGCAGGCCTCCACTCGCGCCAACCAAGTGACAAACTCCTCGACGCTGAGTAGTCGGTCGCCCACGACACGTCGCAAATGGTGCTTTACTGACCGCACCCCGGCCTCCAACAGCCCGCCGAAGTGAGGAGCCGCTGGGGGAACGAACCGCCAATCCGTCTCGTCCGCCGCTAACGCATTGGCCACCGGGCCTCCCGCGTCTAGGACGGCTCGGAGCTGGGAGCGCAGCTCTCGGTCGGCCCCGACAAAGGTGGTGCCCTGGTCGCTGTGAAGGACCGCGGGCAAACCGCGGCGGGACGCAAACCGATGAAACGCCGCGATGAAGGCTTCCAAGGTGTAATCGCCGACCAGCTCGAGATGGATGGCGCGCGTGGTAAAACAGACAAAAACGGCGATATATCTCTTAATGGAAGTGCGTCCTTGACCACGGACCGCGGTCAGGGTGACCGGGCCCGCGTAGTCTACTCCGGCAATCTGAAAGGGCGGAGCAGGCGTGCAGCGCTCTCGCGGGAGCGGTGCCATCACCGGAGTTATAGGCTGTGCGCGGTACCTGGCGCACACAACGCAGCGATGCAACATTCGTCGCACCAGCGCCCGGCCGCTGGAAATCCAAAAGCGCTGCTTGAGTCGGGTGTGAGTCAGTTGCACCCCCCTGTGCAGTGTTCTCTTGTGGACGTCTCGGATTACGAGTTCCGTCGCACGCGTCTCTCGAGGGAGCACGATAAGGTGTCGCCGGTCGTGAGTGAGATTTGCGAATCTTAGTCGTCCATCCACGTAGCAAGCCGTCGGCGTCTAGGACTGGGTGGAGTTGGCGCAGCGGGCTGGAGAAGGGCAGCGCTCGACCTCCGCGTAGGTGGCCCAATTCAATGCAAAAATACCCTCGCTGCGTAATTGCGAGGAGCTTGAGCTCGGTGCGCCGATATTCGGCGGAGGTGATGGAGACCGAATGCGCCGAAGTTCGGTGGCGGAAGCGCAGTGATGCGCTTGATGCGCCATGATGCGTAGTGCCTTTGAATAGGAGGAGGCGATCAGCCCCTCGCAATCCTGAACCGGGGGCACGCCCGTCGGCTCGGCGCCCGTGTCGCGGACTCGCACGGTATTGCACCTCGTCGGTCTCGTGGGCTCCCAACAGGGCCAGTGTTCGGGCGCTTGTGTCAGCCAGGCTGGACCACCCCACCATAACTCCTGATCTCGGAGAAGACGAGGCGACATGCTCCGCGACGAGCAGTCCGCCGGATTCTCCTTCGTGGGCACATGGCCCCACTGAGCGGAGGGAAGAAGTTCGTGGATAGCTGCCACCCGGTTCGCCACGAAAGTGTTCCAGCGGGACGAGTGCTGTCGGATCCAGGCCAACACGACCGCAGAGTCACTCCAGCAGCGTGTGGTTGTAGTCGTCGGATGGAGGGTCTCCAGAGCGAATCTCAGAAGCCGGGCCAACAAGTGTGCTCCGCAGATTTCCAACCGCGGAAGCGAGATCGGCTTCACCGGCGCCACCTTGGTTTTCGCGACGAGCAGGCGAGACACGGGCGGGTCCCTTTGGGCCCGCACCACCAAGTACACGGCAGCCGCATAGGCGCGCTCGGAGGCGTTACAGAAACCGCGAAGCTCGGTCTGTGACCCGGGGGTGTGCCCGGTCCACCGGGGCAACCGAAGCTCCGTGACAGTCGCGAGCTTGCGCCGATATAGGAGCCACCGGGCAGACAATGACTCGGGTTGGGGTTCGTCCCAGCCGACTCCCCTCAATATAGTTATAGTTCCTGCAACAGTATTTTGCCAGAAACTACTACCGGGCTGATCCAGCCAAGGGGATTGAATACTCGCGAAATGGTGGAGAGGATGCTGCGCTTAGTATTCGACGAGGGTAGACCCAACGCGTCGCCATACCCGAACGCGTCCTCCGGCAACCACTGGACACCCAGCACGGGGGTCCCCAGGTCCGCATGGTCCCGAAGCGGCACCAACGGTAAGCGGCAATTCTCAGGCACCGGTTCCAGCACTGCTGGATTGTTGGCCGCCCACTTCCTCAAAGCGAAGCCGCCCGTCCTGAGGAGAGACACGATCTCCCTCTGCAGTAGGAGCGCCTCGTCCAACGTGGCGGCGCCTGCCAACACGTCGTCAACGTAGGTGGAACTAACCAAGAGGTCCGCGGCTTGCGGGAAGCGGGAGCCCTCATCCTGGGCCAGCTGCTGCAGTACGCGTAGCGCCAAGAACGGAGCACAAGCCGTGCCGTAGGTAACCGTGCTTAGCTGATACACGTGTACGGGCCCAGTGGGCGCGGGACGCCACAAAATTCGCTGCAACGACTGGTCCTCCGGGTGGGCCGCGATCTGTCGATACATCTGTTCAATGTCGGCGATGAACGCCACACGATGCATGCGCCAACGCAGCAACACCCTTCCGAGATTTTGCTGGAGCCCCGGCCCGATATGGACCACCGAGTTCAGCGACGGGCCGGAAGCGATTCTCTGGGACGCGTTGAACACGACTCGGAGTTTCAAAGTCGAACCCGAGCCCTTGATCACCGGGTGATGCGGCAGGAAGAAAGTAGGGTGGCCGTCGTCGGTGTCCTCGCTGACGTGGTGCATGTGCCCGCGGCACTTGTAGTCGTCCAGGAAAGCCCGATACGCCTCTTGGAGCTCGGGGTGAGCTTAGAACCGGCGTTCCAAGCGCGCCAGCGATGTTTGCGCCGCAGGCCGCGTATCACCGAGTGCGGCGTTGATCTTGAGTGGAATGCGAACCTGATACCGCCCGTCCCGCTGTCGGGCGTGTGTGGCGACGAAGTGCCGCTCTCAGTCCTCCTCATCGGGGCTGAGCGTGGGAGTGCTGGGCAACTCCTCCAACTCCCAGAAGCGCCGAAGCTGGTCGTGAAGCGGCTCGATCTCACAGCGCAGTGTATGGCAGTGAGCGCGATGGTCCTCTTGCTCCGGCGCCGTGGCTCCTAAGAGAAGCCACCCCAGTCAGGTTGCCTGTGCGATCGGCGCCCGAGCTGGTCCTCGCCGGATTTCCGGCAACACGATGGCGGCATACACCTCCGCCCCCAACACCGCCATCACGGGATCCGCGGCTCGGTGGATCCGTCGTCCGCTAACGACAGACCGGCGAGGTGCGACCACTCCGCCGGGAGCTCTGCCACGATCGGCCGATAGGTGGTCAAGCGGGGCATAATGAGCGCCTCCAGGCCCCGCTGAAACGGCGGTCCCGCCGTTGCTCGCATCCGAAGCGAAGCGACCGCCCGCACTCGCTGTCCGCGGCTGTCGGTTGCGCCGGTCAGTCGCACATGCGCGGGTCGTCGAAGTGCTCTGAGATGCTGAACTGCGTTCTCGGCGATGAGATTGACCTCCGACCCCGGATCGATCAGCGCTCGGACGGTAAGGGTGCGCCCATCCTCTCCGAGCAGCTGCACGCGTGCCGTTGCTAACAGTGCTCGCCCAGCAGGTCGTCGGGAGATCGCCTGCATCGCGGAGACGGCGGCCGTCGGTTCCCGCTCCGGAGACGTGCGAGGCGTGCAGTAGCGTGTGGTGGTCCGCACCGCAGTTGTAGCGTCGGGTGGACGTGCACTGATCACGCCGTTGGAGAGGCAATTAAAACAGCGTCGCCAGTCCGCGACACATCGGCGGCGCTCAACCGTCGTGAGACCCCGGAAGGCAGTGCAGTCCCAGAGGGGGTGCGGCTTGGAACACTGGGCGCAGCGGCCCTTACGACCCGAAGCCTGAACCGTATGCGTGCGTGCCTTGCGCTGGGGCTCTTGGAGTCGGGCGTCGCCGACCGCCCCGCCCGCCGTCCGGGACTTGCCCTCGATTGTCTTTAGTTCTCGGAGTTTGGCCTTGAGAAAGTCTGCGAGGGTGCTCCAGCGCACCGGCTGGCGTATCTTGTTTGTGGCTCGCTCCCAATCTCGACGAGTGACGGCATCGAGAGCAGTGACCGTTCGGTATACCCAAATGTCGTCCCATTGATCCGTAGGTCTTCCCAGCTGATGTAGGGATGTGCGGACCTCGCACGTCCGGTCGAACACTCGCCGGAGTTCGGCTGCTGACTCGCGCTTCATGGGCGGTAGCGCGAAAAAAGCGTACAAGTATTGTTCGACCAGCAACTGCTCGTTGTCATAGCGCTCGAACAAAGCCGCCCATGCGTCCTGATAACCTGCGTCAGTGATGGGATGATGTCGCAAGAACCTTTCAGGCTCGCCCTGTACGTGCTGCTTCAAGTAGTGCATCTTATGCACGTTAGCCAGTGTTTTGTTCTCACCCACCAGCGCGAGGAAGAGGTCCCGGAACGTGCGCCACTCATCGAATGCCCCGTCGAACGTCGGGATCGGAATACGAGGCAACTTCGCCTCTGGGACTGACGCCTGTGTCGGCACCGCGTGTACAGTCTCACGCGCCCCTCCCGTGCCAGGAGCTGACAGTGCATCTCGAATCGTGCGCAGTTCGATATCCTGCGCAAGATACAATTCTTCGGTGTCGCCGAAGATATCGCGCCTCAGGTAGTCGGAGTCCCGGATCTCCTTGTGTCGTGAAGCTCGGATGTGCCGATGGTCCTCCACGAACTGCGACCAATATGACTCGAGGACATGCAGCCTCGCCTGCACTCCAGAAAGCGTCTTCAACTGGTTGGACTTGCGGACGTTCTCGACAATGCGACTTATCCGGTGTCGCCTATCGGACTGCACCTCGATCAAGCCCAACAGTTCCTCAGCAGATGCCATGGTAGATGTTGGCAACTCCGTGCGCTAAGCTGATTAGCACCGAAATTCGCGCGGTAGAGCCGATCGGTAGTCGATCCGGCTCGAAGGACCAATGTTTCGAACAGCTCTAGTTGGTGTGCGGCTAGTTCGTATGCCGTCGAAGTACCGTCGATCTCTATCTTTAAATGCGCGAGTATAATTCGTGCTCTCCTATTCAGGAGCCCCGTAAAATGGCGGGAGGAAAGCACCAGCGTGTTTTTGAGTCTAAGAACACGGCGTGCCCGGAGTAGGACCCGTGGAGTTGCCCGGCCCTGGCAGCGTAGCAACAGCGAGTGTGCCTCGCGTGAGAGCTGCGGCCCTGGCAGCGAAACAATAGCGAGTGTGCCTCGCGTGAGAGCTGCGGCTCTGGCAGCAGAGTTTCGAAAGAAAATCTACGACTCACGCGGAGTCGTGAGCCCGACCGTACTAAGTTCTATCGGCGCTGATACCCGGTATATGCAATACGGGAGATGTCGCGAAGAGAGACGTCCACCGCGGTGGAGGCGTCAAGGTAATCCGAAGTGGTCGCGCGAAGCCTTCTCTCAATCCTCGATCGTATTGAGAAGGTGGAGATCCGTGGAGTTACCATACACTTCGTAACACAGATGCCAACGTGTCCTCGGACACTCTAGAGACAGTAGCCCAACGTGCAAGCGCACTCCAAAGGGCTGCGAAGACTCAAACCCGAATGCCAACGTGTCTATGACACTCTTAAAGCAGTGAAGATCGATGCTGATATGCAAAACGTATACCTCTGGCGAGGTAAGTGCCCAACGTGCTTGCGCACTCAAGAAGGCGAGTTGAAGCTAGCTAGAGCTTAAAAGAATATCTGCTGGTGCAATCGCACTCAAAGCTGGCAACATGCAAAAGGCCTTGAGTGGTCTCGCGCGACGCCTTATATAGGCGCCTAAGCGAGAATTAACCGCGAGAAGCGGTTCCGGCTGACGCGCTCGCCGCGTCGCGGCGACGGCACGCACTGGCGGCGGGAAGCCGGCGACCGCGAGTTGAGCGGCGCCTGGCGCTCGGCCGCCCGCCGTACTCGCTCCGCATGGACACCCAACGGCCGTCCGGAACAGAGTCATTACCAAGAATATTACGAAGCGTAGACCGGGGGCGACCACGGTGGCGGAATTCCTCGTATTTTCGTAGGCTCGCCGTATCAGCGTGGACAAGGTATCGGGAGTTTTCTCGGGGGAGCTATTTAGACGGGCGCTTCCTTATTTGACCGCCGCTTTACACGTTGTTGGAAAAGAAGCTTTACGCAATGGTATTAATATAATCGAGAACGTGAGGAATAATACCCCGTTGAAAACCGCGGTCAAAACCCGACTTAAGAAATCAGGAGAGAATCTTAAGAGGCGAGCCAGAGAATAAATCAATAAACTGATGAAAGGATCCGGATATAACTTGGCGATAAAGATTAAGAAGCTCCAGTTTCCTTTCGACAGACTCGGCGGTTACGTCGCTAAATCCGGCTCGCGTATAAGGTGCATATATCACAGCTATCATGTGACAGTGTGGGGCTCTGATTTTCATTGCGCGTTAAACAACGCCAGTAAATTAAAAGAGTGGTTAAAGGCGCGAGAGCAGTGCGGAGGTAAAAACGAGGAGCAGAAGAAGTGGGAGGAGGTTGTGAAGAAAGAGGAGAAGGGGGACAGGCTCAGCAGCATCAGTGAAGTGAGCGAGGAGTCGTCCGCTCATAGCGTGGATTTTTGCTATAATTTCCGCCTGCCCCAAACAACAATCCCTTCACTGGAGGAGGAAGCCGCAAAGAGAACCGTCGAAGGAACGCAAACATCGGAAAATAGAACGAACGGCGAAATAACGGTGATCATACCCAAGGTAAATATTTTACATGCGCCTCTAACCTGTCTGTTTCGAATAGCCTTAGGCGGTGAACGGCTAGTTCAGATGCCGTCGAACGTTCGTCGACTGCTATCGTCAATTGCGCGAGTATAAGTGCGTGCTCTCCTATCCAGGAGCCCTGTAAGATGGTGTGGGGAAAGTACGAGAGTGCTCTTGTGTATAAGAGCACGGCGTGGCCCAGTGAAGGACACGCGTGGAATTGCCCGGCACCTCCGCGCTGGGAAGGATTCCCCCTTTCGGAGGATAATAATCACTCAGAGTATGGAGATACTTATTCGTCTTCCTTGTGAGTGTCGGAGTCAAGTCCGAACAAGATTCAGCTCAGGTTGGCGAGGGAGCAACAGAGGCTGAAGCTGGGATGTTAGATTGGCGAGCTGAACTCACCTTTGAACAGTCGTGCACACGGCGAATGCTATATCTCGTAGTGAGAGCCTAAACGCAAACGTAACTCTGAATCGCGTACGCGGCCGAGTCGGAGCCTGACGTTAACGTACACGTAAACGTGCGTTGAATACCGCGTGCGTGACGAATGCTAAGTCTCGTCGAGGCAAGGAGCAAATATTCTTCGCGGATGGAGTCGCGGATGCGACGACGTAGGAGTCTTGAGTAGACTTAGGCCAGCGATCGTGTGTCGCGAGAGCGCTGTGCCCCTGGCAGGGAAGTAATAGCGAGCGTGTCTCGCGTGAGAGTTGCGGCCCTGGCAGCGTAGCAATAGCGAGCGTGTCTCGTGTGAGAGCTGCGGCCCTGGCAGCGAAGCAATAGCGAGCTTGGCTCGCGTGAGAGCTGCGGCCCTGACAGCGAAGCAATAGCGAGCTTGGCTCGCATGAGAGATGAAACGATGACTCGCGCGGAGTCGTGAGCCCGACCGTATTAAGTTCTATCGGCGCTGATACCCGGTATATGCAATACGGGAGATGTCGCGAAGAGAGACGTCCACCGCGGTGGAGGCGTCAAGGTAATCCGAAGTGGTCGCGCGAAGCCTTCTCTCAATCGTCGATCGTATTGAGAAGGTGGAGATCCATGAAGTTACCATACACTTCGTAACACAGATGCCAACGTGTCCTCGGACACTCTAGAGGCAATAGCCCAACGTGCAAACGCACTCTAAAGGGCTGCGGAGAGTTGTGTAGAATCACCGAAGATCTAAATACAAAATGCCAACGTGTCTACGACACTCTTAAGGCAGTGAAGATCGATGCAGATATGCAAACCGTATACCTCTGGCGAGGCAAGTACCCAACGTGCTTGCGCACTCAAGAAGGCGATATGGAGCTAGCTAGAGAATACCACTTAAAAGAATACCTCAATGAGGCAGTGACCTGATGTGCAATCGCAGTCAAAAGGCTGGCAAAAGGCTAAAGGCCTCGAGTTGTCTCGCGCGGCGCCTTATATAGGCGCCCAAGCGAGAATTAACCGCGAGAAGCGGCTCCGGCTGCCGCGCTCGCCGCGTCGCGGCGACGGCGCGCACTGGCGGCGGGAGGCTGACGACCGCGAGTTAAGCGGCGCCTGGGGCTCGGCCGCCCGCCGTACACGCTCCGCACGGCGACACCCAGCTGCCGTCCGGAACACTGTCCAAATGAATTCGCTCCAAATTCTACAAGCAATTTAACAACTCGATGTTAGACACTCAGGGGTCTACCCAGCCGATCGAGTACCGAAGGTGTGGACGAGGTCGACGGCAATATTCTTTAATACCGACAATCATGATCGTCCGAGACAACACTGGGTTGCCTTCTACGTCGATAAACATGGAACGGGTACATACTTTGACAGTTACGGGCTGTCCCCAATCGACTGCAGATTCCTTCTTCGACTTAGAAGAAATTCTATCATCCAACAATGGAACACTACCCAGCTACAGGGATATTCGGCGCAAACTTGCGGACACTATTCTTGCGTGTTTCTTTATTATATGTGCCGTGGTTATAATCTTAATCAATTTATTAGCCTTTTTTATACCGATCACGAGCGAAACGACCAAATGATTGTACAATTATTCAATAAAATATTCTCTAATTGTAAGCTTAAGTGCTCCATACTCCATACTTCTCAACATTATATTCGATACTGCACTTCCAAATGTATACGAAATAAGTAGAAATGTATTTGTGATTGTATGTATAAATAAACGATAGACTTTTTCTTCTAAAAATATTTTTTTCTTCGTCCCCCAAAACCGAGACTAAACACCGCATATCCATAGCTGTCCAGACCTGCTCTCCCTTCTCCATCTATCTCGCTCTTCTAATATTCGGCAAGCATCTTTTCCTCATAATTTTCCGGTAACGTCTCCCTACTCAACTTTTCTCGACGTAAGCAACGATGCGGGTGGGCTGAAAAAACCAATCCCCATGAATAACCATAGCTGACCACTAACGAACCAATAGATCCTCCTTACTCCTCACGCGGAGACATCTGGCAACTACCCTCTCCCGCTAGCTCCCCACCTTCGCCTAACGTTCAGTAGGACCCTTTTCGCCTAAATTTTCCAGGTCACACTTAGCATTCTCAACTTCTCGACGTAAGCAACGATGCGGATGGGCTGAAAAATCCCCGTGAATATTCATAGCTGACCACTAAACGAACCAATAGCATAAATTACCCTCATCCTTATACAGAAGCAACCGACGACTACTCCCTACCTTTAGCTCCTCCATCGTCACCTACTCCTTCTCGACTCACTCATCAGTCGAGACTCGGAACTTTCAGACAACAGTCATGCCGCAGGAGACGAAGTTTATACTCCATAAGAAACGGTGCAATAAAAAGAAATAAAATAAAATACATAAATTGCTCTGAATAATCCCACCCGATTTACAGTGAGGGCGACATACCGTCCGCCCCCACTTGCAATATTAACAATTTTTTATTCCACATATTACCCCCTCCACCGAACCTGCAAAATTGCCCCACCATTCCATTTCGGGACCCTCCCCCACCCCTCGACACACTGGCGCCAGCTTTTACCCCCACCACCGAAAAATAAGCCACGCCCTGTCTCACGGAAGCTGTACATATATTACTATAGTACGATCGCGAAATTTTAATTCGTTGCATGAGGCAATAGCAGCAGCAAGCTCAGAAAAAAAAGTATAGGGGCCTAGCGGAAAACTTTT